CCTCCTGGCCCTCACCTTGGCCCCCAGCCTGTGAGCCCCAGGCCAGCCTCCTTCTGTTCCCAGGCACTCCCACGGCCCCCCAGCCGTGATGGGGGTCAGGGCCCTGGGCTGGCGGCTTCCTCAGAGGGTCCGGGCCAGGTCCTGCGGCACGAGAGCGGCCCTCCCACTGGGCATGAGAGCCCAGGGCCCTGGCCGGGGAGGGCATTCGGACCCCTCTGACTTCTCGTCCATTCTGCTTGGTTTCCATTAATTTTTCTACTCGAAACTCCATCGGAATAAATGCTTGAAAACCCGTGTGGTTGTCTGTGCTGTTCCAGGGGTGGGGGGAGGCCACACAGGACCCCAAGGCCAGGGCCCAGCATGGCTACACTTGAAATGCCACCGTCACCCCCTATCCTCGGAGGGGCAGGGCCCTCCCCAGGCACCTGCTCTAACCCCCAGAAGAGAAGGGGCGCTGCTGGGAGGCCGAGGGCAGAGCACAGGGCAGAGGGAAGGCAGGCCCTCCCATAGGGGTTCAGGGAGGAGGGGCCGCCCCTCACACACACCCTCACCTGGAACGTCCTGGGACCCCAGGCTCTGCTGCGCCTGGAGCTGTGCCGACACTGACAGCGTCGCCAGGGCCAAGGTAATCCCGTTACTTGGGTCAGTCCCCGCAGGTGAGCCCTGCAGCCCCATTGGCCACCTCAACCCGGATGGAGAGAGGGGGGTGGGGGGGCTGTGTGCCAAGAAAGACCACAGCCTCTGAGGGCTTGGTTCTGGGCCCGCTGCCCGGGTTCTGAGCCCACTGCCTGGGTTCTGGGCCTGCTGCCCAGGTTCTGGGCTCCCTGCCCGGGTTCTGGGCCTGCTGCCCGGATTCTGAGCCCCACAGCCCAGGTTCTGGGCCCGCTGCCTGGTTCTGGGCCCGCTGCCCGGGTTCTGGGCCTGCTGCCCGGGTTCTGAGCCCCACAGCCCAGGTTCTGAGCCCCAAAGCCCAGGTTCTGGGCCCGCTGCCTGGTTCTGGGCTCACTGTCCGGGTTCTGGGCTTGCTGTCCGGGTTCTGAGCCCACTGCCTGGGTTCTGGGCCCGCTGCCCAGGTTCTGGGCTCCCTGCCCGGGTTCTGGGCCTGGTGCCCGGGTTCTGAACCCCACAGCCCAGGTTCTGAGCCCCAAAGCCCAGGTTCTGGGCCCGCTGCCTGGGTTCTGGGCCTGCTGCCCGGGTTCTGGGCCCCATAGCCCAGGTTCTGGGCTCGCTGCCTGGTTCTGGGCTCGCTGTCCGGGTTCTGGGCTCGCTGCTCGGGTTCTGGGCCCCACAGCCCAGGTTCTGGGCCCGCTGCCTGG